ACATAGTTATGCTCAGGATATGTCAGCCCATTTCCATTGGAAATGCCTTTTGGTTAAACTTTCAGCAAGGAATTTGCATTTGCATTGTTATATTTTTATATAGCTTTAATGCACATAAAAACAGCTGCTTGTTTAAGTAAAAATAAATTGATGGGTTTTTTTGCGCTAGTAAAGTTATGGAGTTATATTTTATGTTTGTTAACCTATTATAATATATTATAATTCAATTATATCGTCAGTTATATTGTTATCGCAACTTTTCAAATATATATTGTGATAAATATTTTTGGCCATATTGCTCTGCTCTAATACCTGGGATAGGTTCCAATCCCCTCCACAACCCTAATAATATAAAAGCCCATGATGGATGAATGCTTTAGTAAACAATTCTGCTAGTCTGTTGCAAATATTGTTATGGACTTGATTATTTTCATAGGCAGGTTTTTTTTTAAATTGCACATGAGCCAGTGGCTACCATCTTTGATCAGCGTACAAAAGTGTTTTTGTTAATTAAGACATTATGTCATAAGAAAAGTCTTATTAACATGTTTACCTGACACTTAAGTATTAATAGAGGAGACTGCTGTCTTACACATTTTTCATCTTCATTCAGAGCCCTCGTGTCCTATGGATGGAGGCATTGTGAGTCTTGATGTGAGCAGTTCTATTAGAATAAAAATGTCTCTTCATAGGATCAGTGACTCTAAACAATTTTTTGATTGATTGATTGAATGAGAGTTCTGTAGCAGCTCAGCCACAAGTCACACTAAGCTTATAAGATGTTCTGCTGTGACCAATTGAAGTTTACTTTTAGAAGTGGTGTTTGTTGTTTGGGCTGCCCCTCCTCCCTGCTGTACTCCACTCTGCATACCAAAAATCCACCATTGCTATTCTACATGTCAAGGTTTCAGATTCATGCACACTCTGTAATGTCTTGAAGTTGATTTGAGTCCAGCTGGCAAACTGAAGTAACCGGACACAGTTTAAAAAGGGATACACTTGTGTATTTCAAGATCCCACAGTTCACACTGCATGTCTATCCATCCATCCATCCATCCATCCATCCATCCATCTTCTTCCGCTTTATCCAGGGTCGGGTCACAGGGGCAGCAGCCTAAGCAGAGAAGCCCAGACCTCCCTCTCCCCAGCCACCTCCTCCAGCTTATCCAGGGGGAACACCAAGGCGTTCCCAGGCCAGCCAAGAGATATAATCTCTCCAGCGTGTCCTGGGTCTGCCCTGGGGCCTCCTCCCGGTGAGACATGCCAGGAACACCTCACCCAGGAGGCATCCTTGTCAGATCCCCGAACCACCTCAGCTGGCTCCTTTCGATTTGTGGAGGAGCAGCGGCTCTACTCTGAACCCCTCCCGGATAGCTGAACTTCTCACCCTACCTCTAAGGGAGAGGCCAGCCACCCTTCGAAGGAAGCTCATTTCCGCCGCTTGTATCCGTGATATCGTTCTTTCGGTCACTACCCACAGCTCGCGGCCATAGGTGAGGGTAGGGACATAGATCAAGCGGTAAATTGAGAGCTTTGCTTTTACACTCAGCTCCCTCTTCACCGCATACTGCAGCCGCAGCACCAATCCGTCTGTCGATCTCCGGCTCCCTTCTCCCATCACTCACGAACAAGACCCCGAGATACTTGAACTCCTCCACTTGGGGCAGGAACTCATCCCCGACCCGTAGTGGGCACTCCACCCTTTTCCGGCTGAGAACCATGGCCTCAGATTTGGAGGTGCTGATCCTCATTCC